CAACATGCGCAATCTAGCGTAGCGGTAGTTCTGGCAGGTCACGTTAGTCAAGCTCGCATCAGCTGATCCCCATCAACCTATGGCAATACGACACCTATCAAAGCATTCATATATTAGGTCCCTCAATATTATCAGCAGTTTTCGCATTGCTCAATAGCTAATTACCCTTCTCCATCCCCAGCTCCTCCTCTGTCAGTCAGGATCATACAGAGAATTGAAATTGCGTTACGCTCAGACCCTTGGTGCATACAGGGTTTTTGATGGATATTTAACGATATCTGCAATACATTTATGTTGGTTCTGTTCTGTTTACCCTGGGAGGTTATCGCTGCTCTTGCCCAGTTCCAAATATTAACGTCAATGCAAAGTTCTTGCCCAGAACAGAACCATACCACCAATCCAAACTGTATGCTAATTGTCAATCATCTTTGACGATAGTGGTCCTGACAGAAGTCATGATTAACAGTCATACACATGAATGCTTAAATGTTTGATTATTTCAGTTCATTATAGACCAGGGCTGCCCAAACTAGGTCCTGGAGGGCCGGTGTCCTGAAGAGTTTAGCTCCAACCCCAATTAAACACACCTGAACCAGCTAATAAAGCTCTTACTAGGCATACTAGAAACTTAAAGGCAGGTGTGTTGAGGCAAGTTGGAGCTAAACTCTGCAGGACACCGGCCCTCCAGGACCGAGTTTCGGCAGCCCTGTTATAGACAATATATAGTGTGTGTAGTGTTATTCACAGTATATAGTAATGTATCACTAATCCAGGGTTCAAAATCAAATCGGCTGTTATATGAAACAAATCGAGTGACTGTTGTATGAGACTTTCTCGATTGGTATAACAGTTTCCATGACAACAAATCATCTCAGCCTGAAGAAAATTATGTGGATCTAACAAAATGCTCCCTTTGTGGTACCTGTAAGAAGGTCAGAAGACATGTACCACTTACCTCACATACTGAGTGACACTTTTACTTTCTTTTACTTCCTGGATTGTTGCAGGAAATGTGCCATCATGAGAACAACAGCTACCTTGTTATCAATAAGCAGCAAATTAGGAGTTTAATTAGGGAAAACTCTAGTTAATAGTGAAAATGTGTTCCCTAATCTAAAGTGTTACCGATGATACATTTGTTTGTTTGTTTTTTTTAATGTATGACTGACTTAACCAAATTATGGAAAACATTTGTCCAGAGCTTTCAAAGAGCCTAAAAAAATTGAATGCTCAGTGGAACCCCCGGTGCATGTGAACACGAAGCTTTTAAGACTCAAGCTGTGGTATAGAAGCTGGCTCCTTATAATGAAACTTCAATTTACACACCTAGAAGATGTGAAGAAAGGAAGCAGTTTCTGAATACCTTTTCTGAATGAACAAAAGTTTAAATTAAAAGTTTAAAAAGTTTAAATTAATGACCAGTTTAAATTAACTTTCTGAGTTTCACCATCATTGTACACAATCATACAAAAGTTTGGGGTTGGTAAGATTTTCGGGTGTTTTTATTAAATAAGTCTCTTATGCTCACCCTGGCTGCATTTATTTGAGCAAAAACACAGTATAAAGAGGAATATTGTGAAATATTATAACAATTTAAAATAACTGTTTTCTGTTTTAATGTATTGTAAGATGTAATTTCTTCCTGTGATGGCAAAGCTTAATTTTCAGCAGGCGTTCAGTGTCACATGATCCTTAATTGATTTGGTGCTCAAGAGACATTTATTATTATCCACGTTGAAAGCAGTTGTGATGCTTAATATTTTTGTGGAAAAATTTAATACTTTTTTCGGGATATACAGAGAATAGAAGGTTCAAAAGAACAGTATTTAAAAAATACATTTGCTAAATAAACGTATAAAAAATATATTTTTTTTTAAATCTTACTTACCTCAAACTTTTGAATGATAGTGTACAATACAGAACAGTGTAGCTGTTTCATTTGCATTTATTTCCTTGTTATAATGTTCAAATCTGTTATTTTAACTGGGACTCATTTGTGTTCCCTTAGAGCTGTGCATCCCTATGACATTCCAGAAATCATCAGTTTTCCTATTGATGATGGAAGCCAGCATTACTTGAAGTGGATGGAAGATGCAGTCACTGATATTTGACACATCAGTGTCTGCAATCCAGTGGAGAAGCTGTTCTTTTGGAAGCTCACTATACAGAAACATTGAGGGGATATGGGAACATGAGCACAAATTCTCAGGTTAATGGGAACCCTGGCCCACACAATGAATGTCTGTTAATATAAAGATCAGCGTATAGATTTACTGGATGGATGTGTGGAAAGGGATTTGTCCGATGTGTTTTTACCAGTACTATTACATTTATGCATATAGCAGATGCTTTTATCCAAAGTGGCTTATAATAGGGGAACAAAACCAGCAATATTTATAGTAGACAATGCCAGGGTTATTAGATGGCTAGATTTGGAAGCAAGCAAGCAAAGCAGAAGACAATTGCAGAGAAGAAAAATATTTATTTGATTATTATTTTTATTATAAGACGTAGCCAAGAAATGAGGAAATTGAAAAAAAAATGAAAGGCATTTTAAAGGCTTTATCAATTTCAAGCTGCCGTTCATACTAAACTGGATGAGACTGATATTGTGGTCCGTTTCAGTGACTGTTATGCTGAAGAGCCTCTGTTCAAGCTGATATATTTATTAACCATTTTATTGACGTGAATCACTTTATTATAAAGAGTATAACTTAAAGCTAATATGAATTCATTTAATTGTTAAAATGTGCTCATTTATACAACTTATTTCTGATGGTTGGTCAAGGGTTTATGTAGTGGTTGAGCAGAATTTGAGTGTTTTTTTTTTCTCTCCGAATATTCATTTCAAAATAAATGAATGGGACCTCTTCAACTTTGACAACATCACTTTTTATTATTAAATGTGGTACAATATATGACACATTAAGTTCATTATTTTGCCATATTGCTATAGAATGTAAATATTGATGTTCCTGACACTAAATAAGAGCAAACAAAATCTGTTTAAACATCATATTTAGCTCCAGAAGTTGTGTTCAGGCTTTCTTTTTTTTCTCACATGCATGCCTAAACAAAAATGACAATATTAGGAATGACTGTAAGTTTAAGTATTTAGCTTTGGCAGCAACTGTATGTGATTTGTGTCAACACATTTGTTGTGAATATCCCATAAAAACATCACAGAGACATTCAAGCCTCCTAAAGTTTTTATATAGATTATAAATATTACGGGTGATAAACATCAAACAATATAAAAAGGGGTCTTATAGATGCTGTAAATGTTATTCAGTAGATTTAAATATAAAAGTGCTTTCTAAAGGGATCAGATTTAATTGTTTGGTCCTTGTGGATCTAACCCAACAGACTTCTTTTTTTGTTTTTGTTTTTTAAATCTACACAAAAGAATATGTTGTACAGTTGGTTTAGCAATCATGAGCAGATCTGAATCTTTCTGTTCCCTCAAATAATCTAAATCTTAGAATTGTCACGTTTTCACTGTGTGTAGCTGAATAGCAAATTGTGTTTTGTTGAATGGGTTTATGTCTGCACTCTTCTGGCTTTTGAAATGATGTTTCCGGAACAGTGAAAACACAATAGAAGTGCAGATGTGAGGAAGTGCTTTTGTATGTAGGGATTTGTTGAGATCCAGTCGTGATAAAGTCATCAATCTGACCTCATCTAACCAGCTATACCTAGCAACCTTCAGTGACATACTGATTTTAAAGTATAGACACCCTCCTTTTTTATAACATGTATACAGTATGTTTTACATACTGTGTATACTGTCTTAAAAGAACTTCACTTTTTGTCTATAATATCAAGGATAGATGTCTAGGTTGTTTTTAAAGCTCCTTATGTCTGTTTATGTTCTTTCATATGCCATATGAGCAGGAATAGCGGAGAGTGTGTTTGTTGTGTATTGTGTTATTGTGCTATATGGAAGGTTGAAACAGGTAGCCATTATTTTATTAGACACTCAGGCTTTTCCCCCTTCAAATTCTCATGTTTAAAACCAGCTTTCAAATAAGTGAATATATTTATTCTATTTTAATATATTTATTACTATATTCTTTATAGTAATTTATTATATGTTTTTGCCGTTTTAAATAATGTTCTATTTAAGGTGCATTATAATTTATGTTTATATAAAATTAATATCCGTCTAACATTTTATTATGAGCCGGTGTTCATGGCTCATATTGCTTGATTGTCAAACCATTTATCAAAGAACATCCATTACAGGACCTACTGCTCAAACATATGCTGACAGATAGTATCTCTGAACAAGGTCACTCCTCTTTATACATACTTGACTTTAAAAGCTTTAAAAGCTCGACATATGTGAATAATATAAAATGTGAGGCTCTGTTATTTGTTTCAGAAGGATGGCATGGCATAAATAGCTTGTAGATAATCGAATGCAACTTCATTATTTACTAGTACACTCAAAAAAATGAAATGTGGCTGCTGTTGGTCCAAAGAATGTAACTACGTTTGAATTAAATAATTCCCTTACGTTTGTGTATTAAAATTAAAAGAGTTGTGTTGACCAAATTAGAAAAAGTAATATTTCAAATTTACACAGTTCACTTAAGTAAAGTGAATGAAATGGAGTTGAGTTGCTTCTGCAGTACCGCACTTTGGTCAGCAGGTGGAGTAATATCTGCACATGCGCAGATGTACAGCACATTCAAAGATCACTCTTCAGCGATCGGCGCCATTTTTGAATCAGACGAAGATCACAGTGCCAAACGAGGAACGTTTTCTTTATGTAGAAACACAGGTGAGATATTTTACTTTTTATGCATATATATTGAGGCTGTCATTTTATTAGAATGGTTAATCGCGCATAATCTCATGTTTTGTATGGGATTTTCATGAAGACACTTAAATAAGCTTGTTTGTTAGGTCATTCAACACATACTAAATAGGAGTTGGCAGTGTTTTATATTATTATTATTATTAGGTGACTCACACCTTTTTTTCCAACCTTTAGAGTCCTTCATGTGGCTGTGCAGAGATTGTGGTTCCTCTCACACATCCAGATCAAATCCAGCACTCTTTATAGAGCAAGAGGTAAGTCAATGTAATGTCAGCTATGATGAATTACTTGGGTATTTTTGTAATTCTAAATTATGTATTTAAGTTTAGATGTAATTCAGATTTGTGTTAATTTGTAATAATTTTGTATGTAATCTGTAAGTGCTGGTAAAGGAATACTATGATTGTTGGTGTATAATATTATTTTAAGGTTTGTCCCAAATTTATCAGCAGCCAACCTGATTTGTCCTTTTAAAACTGTATTAGGTATCTGTGAAATTCAGTTGGATTACAACAATCCCTTTGGTCTCCAAATATATGGGTCAGCTTGATCATTTCTCAAACCAAAGAAAGGAGCAGCAGCAGCACAGAAGATCACAAACATCCTGTCAGTTATGGCTCAGGTATGTTATCTAAATTCACTGTCATTTTAAATCTGACAATAATTCATAATAGGTTAAAATAATATTTCACCCAAAGATGAAAATTCGGTCATCATTTACTCAGCCTCATGTCGTTGAACCTCTTACATCTTTTTTGTTGTTGTTGTTGTTGCCTGAACTAAAATGATGCATTTTGGCCAATTTGTCCTGCTCTTTTTTTTTGTGTGTGTACACAATAAAAGTCAATGGTGAATTCCTGTTCTGAATCTTCAAATGTAACATGTAATTGTTTGATGCTTTTGAAGCTTCAGAAGAGAAACTCACCCTTGACTGTCATTTTATCATCAGAAATGAGCATGACAAACTAAACAAATTTAGCATTTTATTTAAGGGAGTCTAAAAGATAAAACAACTGATAATGATTTTCTTTTGGTGAATTATCCCTTTAAAGCCTGGAGTATATACAGCATATGCTAAAATGTTCATATGTGCATAATTCATACTGTTTTAATTTCAGGGCTTGTTTGTAGCTTTATCATATTTCTCAGCAGCAGAGTTGTGTTTTTGCACCTACAATTGGAGCAACTCTGACATCCAAGATTCCCATAGCAAAGTTTCTGATTTAGGAACATTTGTTGGGTTTTCTTGTACTGGTTCCCAGGATTGAAAATTTGAGTTTTGTAGAAACAACACAGTTGAATGATCTGTATAATACTACTTAAAATGTTAGATGTACAGTAACAAGTCTAAAAAGTCAAGTGCTAACTAATGCTGTTCATTTTACATATTCAGAATGTCTCCATCGGCAAAAAATGTGAATGCATCCTGAAAGCCCTGGCTGTCTGCCTGAAGGAAGACCCCTCAAACCTTGTGAAGGAGTACATGGTAAGTTATTTACCTTTTTCATTAAAACCTAGTGTATGTTTCTCCAAAACCAACTTCTTTGACCCTTGATCTGTTGGTAATTGTTTCTTTTTGTACTTGACATTTTTAGAATGTTGAACATGCTGAAGCCCTAACCTCAACGCGCAACACCACGCTGGGAATCTATGTCATCATACAGATGCTACAGACCTTTACGAATAATGTTGTACTGTTGGCTGTTGCAGTACATTTGTTTTTCGGTACTGAACATGTTACATTCCTTTCAACGTTGGTCTTGCTTTGAATAATTGATGCATTTTCATTACAAAAGAAGACTATTTTGTAAATCCTACCTAAAATCCATGCTTTTATTTTTTATTAGTATGCTTTTTTACACTTTTCTTGTAATAAGATAAGATAACTGATTAAAAAAGTGAAGGCAGTCTTTAGATTTTGTACAAATTATTCTTCTTGGAAACATTTGTAAAAGTTGTAAAAAAATGTTGAATGTATTTATTGAATAAACTCAATGAAACTGTATTATTTGTTTTGATTGAATGTGACCATATTAATTTTAGAATAATTGAACTTGATTAACTTAATAGATTAAAACGAAGTCAAGAATGTTAAGTTGATTCAACTAAACAACATTGTATTAACTTTATGTAATTAACTTAAGTTCACTAAAATCAATATTGTTACTTAAATGCAACCTAACTCAGTTACGTGGAACCTGTTGACATAAAAAAGTTAAGTAAGGCCAACATATCATTTTTTGAGTGTTCAGTATGCCAATAGTAAATCATAAACCATGTTATATATTTCTTTGCATGTCAATTTTCTTGTTATCTAAGCATCAAGAAAGCTATGGTGTCTAATTTGAATATGCTCTGTAAATGATTATTTGCTATATTGGGGAACTATGGGGGTTTTGCCTGAGGGTGTATAAGTGCAACAAAGAAAATTAGAGTTTGTTTACACCAGTTGTAATAAGCTCCGGGGTACGTGGAGAGAAAGACAGACATAAATTAAGAGGATGAGAGATATCCTGACATCCTAACTTTTATTCTAACAACCTAACAATTATTCTAATCCATTATTTCACAGAAGTGCAATGATCCGTTGGTGAGTAATTGGTGAGTTCATGTAAGATATTGTTATTATTATTTCTTTTTCCCTCTGATAAGACAGAGTAGGTGACTTTCAATGCACATTCATTTTACCTGAATATTTTTATGTCATGTCATTCTCTTTTTAAATTACCATGGCATTGATGTTCACCAGCAAAGACGTGGATTTAAAATAAAAGGAAGCATAAAAATCCCTGACAATTAAGCGAGAGACTGACTTGACAGTACAACAACATCTGGAGCCTGCTCTAAAAAAATAGCTCAAATATACATTCAAAGACAAACATCCATCAAAACTGAAGGAGATTGAAAGGGCTGAGACTACTTGTTTTAGTGTTTCCTTCTATATAGTCAAAGCTGTAACTAACAAAATCATTCTAAAATTGCTGTTTTTTTTTAAAACTAAATTGAAATTCAGTTTGACATTAAAATGGTGTCTGGTCCTTCAAAAGATGTTTTCCGCTATGTTATTGGTCCATTATAAGTTATATGATTTTTTTTGTTTGTTTGTTTGTTTGTTTCTTTCTTTCTTTCTTTCTTTCTTTC